ATTACTCTGTCCTTTCATCTCATTGTACTCAAATCTTGGGTGACTGTTGGCTCTGTCCCTTTCCATCCACAATCCATATGACACCAGCTTGGGAAACTTAATATCTTGTAAATGCATCATCCATACACAAGACAATGCAACTGGAAGGGACTTGGGGGAGAAGCCTGATATCATAAAATGCCAACTGTACATACATCTCTAGAAAAGTTTAAGTCATTGGACTGCGCCACCTAGGGTGGAAAAACATTATGTTTTCAGTCAGCTGCAAATTCCTAACCAAGAGTCACAGATCAGAAAAGGGGGTGGAACACCAAATATTTCTCTCAAACTGTGTTTTCACGCAGGATATTCACAGGTTTTGAAAGGGAAAGCGCACTCATTCTACAGGGCATCCACCTGGGCAAAGTACAGGCCGTTGGTCCTGTGCATATATTAGTGGGAGGACTGTTGTGGTTCACTAAGGAATCAGTCTACAATGTCCTATCCTGGGTCAAATACCTGTACCACAAGGTACTTGGAGCCAGCTGACATCATAACACCTTCCCATTATCCCCCTTGGGCAAGAGTTTTACAAGGCCCCATCAGGCTAGAACACATCCTAATGTTAGGGGGGATAGGGGGTTTGTTTTTAATTTTCTATAGAGCAAAAGCCACCTTGTGGGTATTCACAATTTGTCCCTAACACCTAGAGTATCCTTTGTAACACTCCAAGAGGTCGACAACTTCACAGAAATGTCTTCCAGCATGGGACAGTACTCGTCAACTTGTCAGCACCCAAAATCTCTGGACCTTTCCTACTGGTCTTAGAAGTTGAATTACCAGGGTTTGGGATGCAGAATATAGCTGTGGAATAATTTCTTTGTGTGTAAGAGGTAAGAGGGTAAGTGTCCAGCTCCTAACACGTTTACCACCATATTTGGTCACCTTAACTATCTCCTGGGTATAAATTTTGTCTGTTTTCTTAAAAAATTTTTTGGCTGTGCCATGTGTCATACAGGATCTTAGTTCCTGGATCAGGGATTGAACCCGTGCCCCCTGCAATGGAAGCGTGGAGTCCTAACCACTGGAGTGCCAGGGAAGTCCCAAACTTTGATTTTTATTTTTATTTTTTATTTTTTTAAATTTATCTATTTATTTATGGCTGCGTTGGGTCTTCGTTGCTGTGCACGGGCTTCTCATTGCAGTGGCTTCTGTTGTTGCGGAACACGGGCTCTGGGTGCGCGGGCTTCAGTAGCTGTGGCTCGAAGGCTCTAGGGCACAGGCTCAGCAGTTGCGGCGCATGGGCCTAGTTGCTCCGCGGCATGTGGGATCCTCCTGGACCAGGGCTCGAACCCATGTCCCCTGCACTGGCAGGCGGATTCTTAACCACTGAGCCACCAGGGAAGCCCCCAAACTTTGATTTTTAAAAACAAATTGGGAGCTCCATCACACTGCTTACTGTAATTCTTTACTTGCATTGTGGACTCATGAATGGAGCAGAAGCCATGTGCTATAACTAAAAGCTTCTCTACACTTATTCCAGGAATAATATTTTTCAAAAATGTGTACAAAATAATAGCAGCTCTGGATGAATGATTTCTTGCCCTCTAAAATCCAAAACTCAGGTGGGTTTTGTTAAGCCAAACAAGAAATAAACTATAACCAAGGCTTTCCCACACACAAATAAGTAGACTTCCTTGTAAGCATAAAGTCTCTGGTGGATGTTCACACAACTGAATATTTTCTCACACTTATATCAGGAATAGTTTCTTTCCTCAGTTTGGAGTTGCCGAGGTAAAATAAAGTCTGAGTTGTGACTGAAGTTTTTTCCACGTTCAGTTCTTTTAAAACAAAGCTATTAGCAACAGGTAGAGCACATGGAAGGAGCCTCCGCTGTACCCATAGTGTGAAGGCTGAGAGAAAAAGAAAAGAGGGCTCTGGGCGGAAGGTTTGCAACCAGATTAGCAAAAGGTCGAGCTGCTCCTTTACTTCTTTACTGCTGCACAGCATATTAGTAGTATAAATTTATAACTCACCTTCTAGCTCCAAGTCTAAACAGACAATTTTAACAGCATGCAAATAGAATATAAAGCAATTCAAGGAAAACCCACTTTCCCTATCTTGGGGCAAATATTGTTGATTAGTGAAGAAAAAGACAAATGAAATATGAGGCTAATAAAGTCTCTGCAACTTGAGGCAGTAAAAGGACATATGAAAAAAATATATTCAAGGGCCTCCCTGGTGGTCCAGTGCTTAAGACTTTGTCTTCTAATGCAGGGGGTGCGGGTTCAATCCCTGGTTGGGGAGCTAAGATCCCACATGCTTCTCAGCCAAAAAACCAAAAATCATAAAACTGAAGCAATATTGTAACAGATTCAATAAAGACTTTAAAAATGGTCCACATCAAAAAAAACAAAAACAAAAACAACCCCCCCCCCCGCCCCAAACTTGGCAATCATGAAAGGAAAACTGAAAGGAAACCAAAATTTAAAACATTATGGGTGGGGGCTTCCCTGGTGGTGCAGTAGTTGGGAGTCCGCCTGCCGGTGCAGGGGACATGGGTTTGAGCCCTGGTCCAGGAAGATCCCACATGCTGCTGAGCAACTAAGCCCATGCGCCACCACTACTGAGCCTGCGCTCTAGAGCCTGTGAGCCACAATTACTGAAGCCTGCAGGCCTACAGCCCGTGCTCCGCAACAAGAGAAGCCACTGCAGTGAAAGGCCTGCGCACTGCAGCAAGGAGTGGCCCCCACTCGCCACAACTAGAGAAAGCCCGCGCACAGCAAGGAAGACCCAGTGCAGCCTAAAAAATAACTAAATAAAATCTGTAAAAATAAAACTGTGGATGAAACACAGCTCTAACTACATATACAAAAGAGAGTAAAAGGACTTTACAGGGCTTCCCTGGTGGCACAGTAATTGGGAGTCTGCCTGCCGGTGCAGGGGACACGGGTTTGTGCCCCGGTCCGGGAAGATCCCACATGCTACGGGGTGGCTGAGCCCATGAGCCATGGCCGCTGAGCCTGCGCGTCCGGAGCCTGTGCTCTGCAACAGGAGAGGCTAAAACAGTGAGAGGCCCGCGTACCCCCAAAAAAAAAAAAAAAAAAAAAACTTTACAGAATACTAGGTGTAGCTTTATGCCACTCTCTGACATTCCAGTAGAAAGGATGATTTCCAGATACAGCTCACCAAAATTTACACAGAGGTAGAAACTTAAAGAGGGCAGTAATTGAAGAAATCAAAATGTTGCTAACGATTTATGCTTCTTGGGGCGGGGCAGGACAAAAAAAAGACTTGTCCCTCTCAATTCCCTCATCCCCCAAAATGGATCAAGCCCCGTTATTTTTACTGTTCAAAGAATAATTCCCACGTTATTCAAACTCTTCCAGAGTAATTAAAGAAAAACAAATATATTTTGAAAGGCAGGCAAAACCTTATTAGTAAATTCAACTTGGTTCTGTACTTAAAACATCATTAACAAATGGATTCTATTCCAGGAGTGCAAGGAACTTTCAATTATCTAGAAACTTGGTCCCCCTAAAATTACAAAAATAAAAGACATTATCTGTAAAATTACAGATTTTTTTTTTAAAAAAAACGTGGTAGAACTTAAAAAACATAACAAAAACTCAAAATACAAAATAATAATTATTATAGGGTATAGTATGTGCCAAGCACTGCTTTAAGTGCCTTACACTTATGAACTAATTTAACCTTCACAGCCCTGAGGTAGCTCCATTTTATATATGGAAGGGCTAGACACAAGGAAACTAAATGACTTACTCAGGATCACACATGTAAGAAAGTAAGGAGTCAGGATTTGAACCTAGAGTACCAGGCACAAAAATCTGTTCTTTTAACTACTGTATTATATTGCTGCTTCTAAATACAGGAATAGGGACTTCCCTGGCAGTCCAGTAGTTTAGACTCCAAGCTTCAGATGCAGGGGATGTGGGTTTGATCCCTGGTCAGGGAACTAAGATGCTGCATGCTGTGCAGAATGGCCAAAACAAAGAAAAAAATAGGAAAAGAAGGAAAATTCCTAAACCCAATAGAATATTTATCAGAAACCAACAATGAAGTAACAATAGTGAGACTTCCAGGGGTACATGTAGAAGATATCAATGAGGGCTTTATATGAGATATCCTATGAAGAGATGTCACTCCTATCTTTAGAAGCTTCTAGTCTGGTGGGGATGGGGGGAGGGGAGATTGTGTCCAATTTAAGGATGATTCAATTACAGAGCTGAGTTTTCAAAAGGTATTTATTAAACTACCATATGAAAATTATTATCTACATACTAAAAGAAATAGATACTATACCCAACCTCAAAGAGCCTATAATGAGTTGGTATGAACACATATGCATTAAATAGAGAATAATTTACAACGCAATTTAACAACAGTTGTACACATAGCACCAGCTAACTCAAAGCACTGAGGTCCAACGAATAGCAGTTTAAGATGAATGAAGACGTATTTGAAGAAGAAAGTCTTTCAGAGATGAGTTAGATCTGGCAGGTTCTGAGGGACACAAATTAGCAAAAGAAAAAAGATTTTCTAGACAGGGAACGTAAGTGATGAGGGACTATATTAGAAGTTCAAAAAGTAGATAAGGAGGGCCACAGCCAAGAGAAAAAATGAATCAGTACCTTGGAGAACGACTTTATGTAAATGGTAAAATGGAGGAAGTGGAACAAATAAGGAAATACCTCTGTCTTTGAGAAGTACACGTTCTGATTTTGGGATGCCTAAGTAAGAAATGAGATAGATTTTTAAACAGATGAATAAAAGAAAGAAGGAAAGAAATCTACAAGCACATGAAATGTGTAGTCCTTACTGGGGAAGGACCGTACTGTTACTCCCACTCTCCCACCTTCCTGACCACCAGAGAGCGTTTAAGGAATGATCCACTTTGATTAGTGGTTCCAAGAGGAGACCAGGGTGAGCATACTTCTTATATAGAAACCTTAACTCAAAGTTCCTTGCTGTCTTAGAGAATCACGTCTTAAAAAACAGACCGAGTCAGACCTGACTGCTTTTCTCCAGTGTGAGTTCGCTGGTGGTGATTGAAAGTAGAACGCTGACTGAAGGCTTTCCCACACTCAATACACTCATAGGGTTTCTCTCCAGTGTGAACTCTCTGATGCACAATGAGCTGTGAGCTGTCACTAAAAGCCTTCTCACAATCTTTGCACTTATAGGGTTTCTCCCCAGTATGAGTTCTCTGATGTACCATAAGACTGGAGCTATAACTGAAGACCTTCCCACATTCATTACATTCATAAGGTTTCTCACCAGTGTGAATTCTCTGGTGTATAATAAGATGTGAGTTTTGATTGAAGGATTTTCCACACTCTTTGCATTTATAGGGCTTTTCACCCGTGTGAAGTCTCTGATGTCGAATGAGACATTTACTCAGACTGAATGCCTTACCACACTCATTACATTCAAAAGGTTTTTCTCCAGTATGAATTCGCTCATGGTCAACAAGTTGAGAATTCTGATTAAAGGCTTTCCCACACTCACTGCATTTGAATGGTTTTTCCCCAGTGTGGAGGCTCTGATGTCGAATAAGACATTTACTTCGACTGAAGGCCTTGCCACATTCATTACACTCATAAGGCTTCTCCCCAGTGTGGATCCTCTGATGGTCAATAAGATTTCTGTTGGAACAGAAAGCTTTCCCACACTCATTACACTTGTAAGGTTTCTTACCACTGTGAAGTACCTGATGCTGGACAAGTCTTTTACTCCGAATGAAGGCCTCCCCACACTCATTGCATTCATAGGGTTTCTCCCCAGTATGGGTTCTCTGGTGGTCAATGAGTTGGGAACTCTGAGTGAAAGCTTTTGCACATTCGTTACATTTATATGATTTCTCCCCATTATGGAGTATCTGGTGTTGAATGAGATGGGAGCTGTGGCGATAGGTCTTTCCACAATCACTGCATTCATAGGGCTTTTCCCCTGTGTGGATTCTGAGATGGACTATAAGCTGAGAGGTCTGCCTGAAGGTCTTGCCACACGCATTGCACTCATAGGGTTTCTCCCCAGTGTGGATTCTCTGATGCCCAATGAGGTGAGAACTCCGATTAAAAGCTTTGCCACATTCATCACAGTGACAGAATTTCTGTCCCTCCAGAATTTCCTGATGTTCTGCAGGACTTGAGGACAGATCTGGGTGTTCCTCAAGTTCCTTATATTCATCACATTCATCTTTTGTGCATTTATTTTTATCCTCCTGTGTTATTTCCAAGAAATCGCTCTTCAGTCTGCTCCCTTGATCACCTGAGGGTTGAACTTCTAGCTTCTCTAAAGCCTCTTCACAGGCATCTCCAGCTTCTGGTCCTCCAGGAATCACTCCATAGAGTACTCCTGAGGTCCTATCAGATGACTCCGATTCTTCAGAAATTTCCTGCTTTGGAGGCAACTCTGAACTCTCCACCCTGTTCTCACCTGCTGCCAAAGGAAAGAAGAAAACAACTGTTACTCACTCTTACCCTACTGAGGAACTGAACTATCAAGAGCCTATGTACCTAAAAAAAAATTCATATTATGGGTAAGGAATGAGGAGACACATTGAGAACAGGAGAGAAAATGAGAAAACAGCTCAAATTTCTCTTCATGGACAGAAAAACAATGAGGGGAAGCTGGTCAGTGGAGGAAGGCAGAAGAAGAGCTATCAGGACAGAGGGATGCTGAGCCAGCACAGCCAGGTGAATAGGCCAGTTGAAAGGCAAGAGACCAGACTGTAAAGCATGGTGTGATCTTCCAGAAGTCACTTAGATGTGACATCTCCTTAGTAAAATGATGAACTCTAAGGTCCTTTCCAACCATGACATTGTATGGTTCCACAGTTCTCAGCAAAGATATTGGGGAGAGAGAGTGGTGGCAAATACCTCAAATCAAATATGAGAAACAATGTGGGACAACCTGAGAGTAGAAGGGAAATTTATATTATGAGGATATGGTTAGGAAAAAGTGTATATAAAGGCGTGATTCTGGTGTAACAGGACAGTGACAAGATTTGGAGAAGCCATGGGCAGAGAAATACTGGGGAAAAGTATTGAAGGGGAAAGCAAAGCTATAAAATTGGGTACCCCCTAGTCCCTGGAGCACTGACTGGTAAGTACAATACTGCACTCCTATAAAAACTAGGAATGGGGCTTCCCTGGTGGTGCAGTGGTTAAGAATCCGCCTGACAATGCAGGGGCCACGGGTTCGAGCCCTGGTCCGGAAGATCCCACATGCCGTGGAGCAGCTAAGCCCGTGCGCCACAACTACTGAAGCTCACGTGCCACAACTACTGAAGCCCGTGCACCTAGATCCCGTGATCCGTAACAAGAGAAGTCATCACAATGAGAAGCCCGTGCACCACAACAAAGAGTAGCCCCCACAAGCCGCAAGTAGAGAAAGCCCGCTCGCAGCAACTAAGACCCAACGCAGACAAAAATAAATAAATAAAACTAACGGGGGACTTCGCTTGCAGTCCAGTGCTTAATACTTCACCTTCTAATGCAGGGGGTGCAGGTTTGATCCCTGGTTGGGGAGCTAAGATCCCACATGCCTCTAGGACAAAAAACCAAAACATAAAACAGAAGCAATATTGTAATAAATTCAATAAAGACTTCAAAAATGGTCCACATCAAAAAAACCCAAAAAAAACTAAGAATGGCATCAATAACTTGAAATATAAATCAAACATGTTTTTGGTATCTTGATAATCAGGAATCATAAAGAGAGTGAGGATTTTTCAGTACAAAAACTGGGAGAAGGCAGAGCAATTATGATTATAGCTTAACGTAAAAATGTTGGTTCCTTTCAATGACATCTACATCAGGGCTATAAACCTTCATGCTAATTTAGTGTGTGCAAGTTGTAGTTGTCTGAATCTCTCACTTCTAAGCCCACCCTCTCCAGAGTAGGCTACTGTCCTAGGACGGTCAAGCCCAGAACCTGCCCTGACAACAGCTCCTTCCAGGAAGCAGCCCTGCCCCAATCTTTCTGAAGGAGAAGCTGAGGCAACCATGCTTTGTGACAAACAATCCAGCTCATCCCATGATGGACAATAGGTGACTGGAACAGGGCCAAGCACTAGACCCAAGTGTGGCTTATCTGTAGATTAATCATCTGCCTCTTTGCAGCAAGGACCAAAGTTCCGCTCAAACAAAGATGTTATTTAATGGCTGAACCACCCTTGGAGTTCATCTCTACATAAATTCTGAACTGAAGGTAGGACAAGATGAAGGAAATTACAAGTAGAAGCCCACGCTGAAATGATGCATGGAGAGAAGGCAAGCCATTGGGAGCCAAAGCAAGCAGAACATGTGAGGAAATAGAAAGTCTAACTAAAAAGGAGCTCTGACAAAAGATTGAGAGTGAAGAGAATGGATATCAGAGGGAGGAGAAAACAGATACACAGAGCACAGCCATTTTACGACACTGGTGTAAAAATCCTTTCACTTTTGCTGCTGTGGCTCCCAGGCTCCCAAGACCCTACAAGGCTTTGTTTCCTGAAGTCTGGTCTAGCTGGTCAGTTTGTTCTAGGTTTCCATTCCTTTAGCCTTATTGTAAGTAACTTAGCTCATTGCTTACAACAACTGAGTGGCTTTCTATTCCTTCCAATTACAAACTCTTAACTAAACCAGCCCAGTTCAATTAATAAGAAAGTAAAAAGAATGTTAGCAACTGTTAAAGTGGATGATGATGTAGAGGGGTTCATTATACTATTCTCTCCACTTTGTCTCTTTATATTTTCATAATAAAAAGTTAAAAAAAGAAAAAGAATATAGCAAAAAATATGTAAAGAAGGCTGACTCTAAGTTACTGGGTAACAGAGTCATTACCCAATGAAGCCAGGCTGCAGCAATTTTCTGGCACGATGTTCCGGTACAGGGCTGCTTTCTGGCTGAGTGCTGGACCTTTCCACTTCTTCTGAGTATAGTCCACAGACAGGAACTCGAACTCTGCAGCCTCCTGGAATGACAAGCTTCTATTGCTCAGGGACATTCCCAGCCTGGAAAGCAGTCATTAGGGGCACCAAGAGAACAGGGTCGGGGATCCTGGTGGTAAAATGGGCGGGGGTGGGGGGCGGAATCTGGGAAAGACAGATTAAAAGGACAAGTCCAGGGAATTCCCTGGTGGTGCAGTGGTTAAGACTCAGTGCTTTCACTGTCATGGGCCCAGGTTCAATCCCTGGTTGGGGAACTATTATAAGATCCCACAAGCCGTGGGGTGCGGCCAAAAAAAAAAAAGGACAAATCTAGGACAGGACCAGCTCCAGGAGAAGCCACAGGAGCAGACTCAGAATGGGCCAGAGGCCCGGAGATGAGCTCTAGCTATTCCTGGGCCACAGACTTGGAACTCAGGAAGCTCACCTGGGGCCTGACCATCCGGAGCACAGTTGCCGCTGCTTGGTCTCCTACGTTCCCCACTTGGGGAAGGGCAGGCACTGGGGAAGCATGCTGAGCTGAGGGAGGAAAGAAAGCTCTGAGTGGGACCAGCCCTGCTCTTGGCTCCAATGAGGTCTGTAACCCAGCAAGTGGATTCAAGAGAACCCAGGTGGCTCCACACACACGGACCCTCATCCCCGTTCCATAAAGGCATTATCATTTGTGAACTGTGAATTTTCCCTGGAGGCACAGAAGGTCCCCGTTCAAACCGAACTGGCGGCTCCTTCTAGCCCTCTCTCTCCCACTCTCGGAAGGAAGCTACACTTCTGACCACCTTCTGTCTCCCATGGCTTCCCCAGCAGCAGCCTGCCTGGCCTCCCCCTCACCTCTCTGCCCCTCATTCCCTGGCTTCTCTTCCTGCACCTGCCCTCTCATCATGGACACTGCAGGCGTTCAGGCCTCAGAGGTTCCCCTTTCCCTCTCTCAGAGATCTCACGACTCCCAATCTCTACTCTTAAGCTGTCAGTTCTCTCTGAGACCCCCATCACAAGCCTCCAGTTGCCTACTGGACATTTCACTTGGGTGTCCCACAGCACTTGAAATTCAGTGTCTAAAGTGCATATTTCCATCTTCCTTTCCTGACTTCCCAAGTTTTCTCAGTGATTCCAAACATCGGCCAAAACCCGCTAATTCTCCCTCCTCTCCATTGTCCCATGGATTCTTTGTTCAAATATGTGTCACATCTATCACTTTCCATTCCACTCAAACCCACTCAGGCAATTACTGCCTCACATCTGTTCTACACTAGCCTCCTAGTGAGGCTCCCGGTCACTGGTCTCCACACTCAACCCACAGTGCTCATGTGCCACAGTAATCCTTCTGAAATACTGTTTCTAACACTTCAATCCCCTGCCCCCAAAATCTTCCTGGCCTCCATCCAAAGGCCCTGCACAAACAGACCCCAGGCTCCCAAATAAGTCCTTCCTGACCCGACCTCAATGGGGTCCAAGGAACTCCTACTTAGCGAGTGTCTTTGCTTCAGCCCTACATGATCTCGATCACCGTTTACAATGCCCACATGGCTCATCCGTGACGGCACCAAATGCCTGCGGACAGATATCACTCAAATGTATCTTATGAGGCTGCCTCTTCTTGCACTTAGGACTGACTCTCTGCCAACTAGATAACAAGCTCTTTGGAAGCAGGGCTGGCATACTACATCTCTCTGGTCCTCAACAGTGCCTTTGCCATGAAACGTGCTTGACAAAAATGTGCTAAATACACGAATGATTGGAGAATAAGCAAAAAGAACAAACAAAGTCACTAGGGAAGGAAGACACGGGGCAGGGCAATAAGGGACTCCAATGGAGTGGGAGATGGGGAGATGAAGGAAAGGAGACTCCGAAAGAGAGAAAGGAGGAATGACTTAAGGCCAAAGCAGAGGAGGTGAGTACCAGAGTGCCCACTGGGGAGGTGGTGGTGTGCCCCAGGGTCACCAGGAGGCTCCGGGTGGGCTCCAGGTGCCGAACCCTCACTGAGGAGTGAGGTAGGAGGAGATTCCTCTGTTGCACCCAAGGCTGTCATCTCCTCCGAATGCATTTCCTGTTCCTGTGCCGGAGCTGAAACCTAGAGACAAGGAAATAAAATTGGGTCCAAAAGAGCATCCTTGAAGGTACAGAACCCAAAACCTCTAAGAAGGAGGTTCCCACGAGAGGAAGTCAGGGAAAGAAGAGCCAGAGGGTCCTTCTAGCCCCACCAGTACAGCCAACTGGGGCAAAAATGTCAAAGCAGGATCTACAGCTTACAATCCTATTTGCCTTCCCTCTGTTGACCCTTTCGGTAGGAGCTTCAAGATCAGATTATATAACCATTTCCACTCTGTGTCAGTGCTTCAGACACACATTTGCTTATGAAGAACCCCCTGGAAAAAGGAGTCAGGAAGGTAATTCAGTACACTCCCTAGGGCCTCAGCCTACAGAATAGATCAATCAGAAGTACCAAGGAAGTAAAAAGTGACAGGTGTATGTACCTGTATGTGCACAAATAATGCTACTGAGGCTGACAGCTGGAGCAGTACCCCGGAACAACAGCTGACAAACCTCAGCTTTTCCAACTTCTCTCAGCAAAAGTGTCTCCTCTTCAGAGAAGCGATCCCTGACCACACTGACAAAGCAAGGATAGTCACACTCTCTCAAATTACCTGGTTATGTTTTCCAGAGCACACATTAGTCTTTAAATTATCTTATTTATACCTTTATTGTCTATTTCTCTGCCAATGAAGTATAAATGTTTTGAGGGTGAGCACTCTGTCTTGGTCACTAGCTCCTAGAACAATGCTTAGCCCAATGGTGGTGTTCAATTAATATTTGCTGACTGACTTCCTCTCACTATTTTGCTAAGAGTCATCTGCAAACTTGGTTTTCAATATGTACTACGTCTCCCCAAAACTTTATACAAAAAGTCAAACAGAAAAAAAATTTAAAAAGAAAAGTCAAAGAGGATCACATAACACCAATCTTTAGTGACCTCGAGAATATCTCAGAGCATAGACCTTTTATTTTCTAACCCTTGCTTGCTGTCATCAAATCAGTTCCTCACAATCTCATGGTTACTACTTGTACCAGCATTTGGAGCAGAAAACCTAAAACATCATCTAAATAAATCACTTTTTTTTTTTTTGCAGTATGCGGGCCTCTCACTGTTGTGGCCTCTCCCGTTGCGGAGCACAGGCTCCGGCCGCGCAGGCTCAGCGGCCATGGCTCACGGGCCCAGCCGCTCCGCGGCATGTGGGATCTTCCCGGACCAGGGCACGAACCCGTGTCCCCTGCATCGGCAGGCGGACTCTCAACCACTATGCCACCAGGGAAGCCCAATAAATCACTTTTTAAAAATTGAAATATAGTTGATTTACAATGTTGTGTTAGTTTCAGGTGTACAGCAAAGCAATTCAGTTATACATACACATATATTCATTCTTTTCCAGATTCTTTTCCCTTATAGATTATTAAAGAATATTGAGCAGAGTTCCCTGTCCTATACAGGTCCTTGTTGATTATCTTAAATAAATCACATTTATAAGCTCACTCACTCTGGCATGTACATAGCAGAGCATAATGTGAAAATAACTTCTCCTTCAACAAAACACATGGATTTGCCCTACTGGGTTACATCTGCTGAGAAGTTAGGGGGCTCTCTCCTTTAGTGTGTATCTCTCCAATGGAATGGTAGGTCCAAGAGGCTCCCTGCAGTCTGGGGTTCCCCAGCTCTCCCATGGATGGTTCTTATAAATGGGACTTAGAGCTCTTAAATACAGCAGCTGTGGGTACTGGCAGAAGATAGAACTTAACTGCACTGTGATAACACAACCTTGTAATTCACTGACAATTAAATCCTGATAAAGTTCCTATTCATTACCTAGGACTCATAAGTGTCCTCTCCTCGCAGGCCACGAAAACCCCATTCCAATTTTCATTCCAAGATGGCATTCCACAGCAAGACATTAGGGAAAAGGTAGTGGCTTAGAATCTAGGGAGCTGGAAAATTCTGGTTCCCACACACATGGACAAAGGGACTGCTTACTAGCTCTGTCACCTTAGATGAGCCAATTAACTTCTCTGCGTTTGCATCACTTGTCAAATGGAGATAATGATTACTATCTGCATACCTTGTAAGCCTGCTAGGAGCTCAAATTAAAAAAGATATAAAAGCATTCTGTAAATTCTGCAGCCCAGTAGGGGTGCCTCTACCACTCTCTCCAGCCCCAATGTGCACACATGTGCATGCTCACTCCTGCTGATCAGAATGACATTCCTTAATCTCCTCCTGGCAAACTCCCATGAAAAAGCCTGTTTTTTCATTTAGTCATAAAAACATTTTCTGAATCCAGGCTAGGTGAGATAGTCCTGTTCTCATGTCCTTATGTCAGAAAACTTAAGCTGAAGACAGTGGCAGAGTAAGAAATGGATTCCAAAGATCCCACTTCTAGGCTACAGCCATGAGTGTTCAGCTGCCCTGACTGTCAACTGTTAGTCACTCTCTTGGGTTTGTGACTCAGTCACCTTTCTTCTGAGGCTCCCTGGATAAAAGACAGTTTTAATGGAGGCTATATTCTCTTCTGCTTAAGCAAAAGAAGGCGGGAGATAGGGAAATTTTCCTTCTACCCTCCTCACTAAATAGCACTCTAAACATTTCTTCAACCACTTGCCCTTGCCTATGGTTGGGCCTAGCTGCTCTCTAGACCCTACTGATAGTTGATTTATCCCTGTGTTTACTTGTTTAAACAAGGAAATAATGATTGACAATGTATCTGATACTGTCAGAGGGTACTGGCTATTACCCCTGGAAAAAGTCTAGCCCTAGAACTCCAATCAATTGGAATTCATTCCCCAGGCCTAGATATGTAATCAGTTCTGAAAAAGCGCTGAATAAAAATAATGTACTGGGTACTAAGGAAATTTCACTGGTACTGGTTTTCCCTGGTAAAGCACAAAGGAGGAAAAGTAGAGGGGACCTTAATCCATCCTGCTCAGTTACAAGGGAGCAACCAGAGACTCATGAGGAAGAACTGACTCATCCATGGTGTGATGGTCTTTTGATGTCAGTTTAGTTCTAATCTAGGTGTTGCTGTGATGGTATGGTGTACAAGTGATTAAAATTCATAACCAGTTTAAGTAAGGGAGGTTATCTCAGATAATCTGGATGGGCCTGATTCAATCAGTTGCAAGGCCTTAAAATCAGAGCTGAAGGTTCATGAAGAAGGAATTCTCTTTGTGGACAGCAGCTTCAGCCTATGCCTGAGAGTTCTAGCCTGAACTTTCTGACGGCCTACCTTACAAATTTCTGACTTGACCTTTCAACTCCCCCAATGACAGGTCACTTTCTAGCAATATATATATATGTATGTATATATATAATTTCCTATTGGTTTTGCTTCTGTGGCTGAACCCTGACTAGTACACATAGTCACTGAACTAGTTAGCTCTGTGATCCTACAAGCCAGATTTCCCACTGTTATGACACTGCTGACTCTCCAACTTTTCCTTTTGAGTTACCCTGGCTTAAAATTTAAGAGAACCCCAGAAAGTATGGAAAATCAAAAATAGAATTAAAGAAGCAAAAAGATCCCAGTTGGGTTTGGAAAGCTAGAAAAGAACAAAATGATGATGAGGCCCAGAACTGTTACATCTCATAAGGAACCTGAAAGGCAGGAAAACAGCACAGTAACTTGGAGAAATCTGAGGAAGTAATGAGAACTTCTCAAATGAGGGCCCATGTTATCAGCATACCGTAAGGGCTACTTCTCCCTGACATGCTTCCCTATTCTAACCAGTGTGCGGATCCTCTGCCTGTCAGGAGCACTCTGTGGAGCTCCAGGCTGCAACTAGGTTCACGACACAGCACTTCACAAAGTAATTCACAGGGCGTGGCTGGGATCTGCATTTTTGTTTAAGGCTGAGCACAAAA